CCCCCCCCCCCCAGAACCGACAAGAAGACATTCAGTTAAAGGAATGTTAGCTTTGTTTCGTTACATTTTGACTTCTAAGCTGTTTCTTAAAGTTTAAAAATGTTAGTTCGACAATAGAGTTTTTTAATGTGGCGGCTCGTAAGAGTGTCATATTCGATAAGAAACAGAGAAATGTCTAGGAGAAAATAAACCAGGACAAGTCAATACGCAAAGAGATAATGGTAAAGATATTATATATTTGAAATATTATATATTTTAAAATTACTCTCTATTCCGATATATTATCGTCGACTCTCATTAGCCTAACTCCGATCGATCCGATTTTGTCCATGTTGTTGACACACACTACCGTCTGGACTACCCGTTGTTAACCCACTCGCCTCTAAAATTTTGCCGAAAATCGTGTTTTCAAGCTAATAGAGCGGTTTTCTAGTAACTGACGAGCTATCAACATCTACAACTTACCACAAAGCTGTTTACAGCCCATACAAAGGGCTTTTTGATCAAGATGCAAAATCAGTCTCGACCCAGAGCTCTTCTGGATTTCCTCCCGTTTAAGAAGAATAAAGTGTAACGGGTGATTTTCGTTGTGTAGTCTTAGGTGGACTCGTGTCTCAGTTAACATAGTGAGAGAAGGTGCGGAAACGCCTCGTTGTAATTAAATCTAGGAAAAATGATACGCATCGCCTTTCTTTCATTACTCTCGATCTTAGAAGCCAAAAATTCAGGTATGTTTAGCCATACAGGCGGAGAAAACGTACTCTAGAATTAGGCGAACAATGGTTACGAACACTTACAATACTACTGACTTAAACATACTAGAGGGGGTTAGAAGAAGTTAAAGAAGGTTGCAAGGGGACACAGGAGGATACAAAGGGTCCAGCAGAATACAGGGGGTTACAGGAAGTTACAAAGGGTTACAGGGGGTTACACGGGGTTACCGGGGGTTACAATTACAAGGGGTTACAGAAGGTTACAAAGAGTTACAAGAGAGTACAGAAAATTACAAAGGATTACAGAGGTTACAAGGGGTTACTCGGAGTTACAGGGGGTAACAGAGGGTTACAAGGAGTTACAAGGGGATAACAGGGGGTAACATGGGGTTACACTGAAGAGGTACAAAGGGTTACAAGGGGATGACAGGGGGTTACAACTGGTTACAGGGGAATACAAGGGGTTATAGGGGATTACAAAGGGATACAGGGATACAAAACTGCGACTTAATTAGCAACCACAAATTAGCCATAGAGACAGGACGTTATTCGAGACCGTTTAAGAAACCTGCAGAAAGAATTTGCCCAATTTGTAAGATAGAAATGGAGGACGAATACCATTTTCTAAATATATGCCCTCCTTACCAGAAAAAAAGATGTTCGTTACTAGATTATTTGGTAAAAGGATATAGAATAAAATAACCAGAATGTCACCTAACAAAATATTCATGTTTCTATAATAAACGCCCTCTAGCGGAAATCCTAAAATACAAAAACTAATAGCAAAACATATATTGGAATGCCTTGAAAAAAGAAAACGGGTTACAAGAGGTTACAAGGGGTTACCGGAAGTTACATAGGGTTACAAGGGGTTATAAAAGGTAACAACGGGTTACAAAGGATTACAAGGGGTTACAAGGGGTTACAGGGGGTTACATAGGGTTAGAATGGGTTACAAAGGGTTACAGGGGTTACAAGGCATTACAGGGGGTTACAGGGGTTACAAGGGGTTACAGGGGGTTACATAGGGTTACAAGGGGCGACTAGGGGTTAAAAAGGGTTACAAAGCGTTACAGG